TTAATTAAAATAATTGTCTATAGTTTTTAAGTAATTTCTCAAGAACTACTAATCCAAATTGTTTAAAATTTTAATATGTTATAGCCAAATATTATATATATTTGCAAAAAAATTTTATCCAATTTGGATTAGTAGTTGTTTAGAAATTTATATCCAGAAATTGTTAAATTTTATAATTTTGTATATATTTTAAATATTATAAAAGATAAAATTTGATTGGTCAATAGCTCTATCACTAGGAAGGAGGGGGTATGATCTATGTAAACCCTAATTACATGATTTACTGCACTTCTCTAACAATTAAAGAATCTTTATTGTCCATAACAAATACTTTTGAGTTACCTGACTTGTCTGAAGTAAATACAACTGATTTAGAAATTAATAGTGAAAAAGATCCTGATTTGGATATTATTAAGATGAAAGAGCCTGAATCAGGAGCTATTAATATGAAAGAGCCTTTTATAAAATTGCTAAAAGTTTATAAAATAAAATATAAATATATGAAATATTACCTTTTTGTACATATATTACGTCCTAACTAAAGTTTTTCTTTATTAAAACTTGAAGATAATTTATATCATTCATGTTTAAAGAATGTGGCTTTTCTAAAAGCAATGGAAGTTTTTCAATACAACCAATCTTTGAAAATACACAAGAACCCAACTTATAGAAGATCTGCTAACACCTATGTGTTTTGCAATTTTCGAGTTAAAAGGCCTTCTAAATTTTTTTCAATAATTTGCTAGCGAATATAGTTTGAAAATATTATATTTTTTGAATTCAACAAAAGATGTGCATAATTTTTATTTATATTAGCCACCTGATTTAAATTATATATATATTAAAGTATTATATTAATTTTTATTGAATTTATTATGCCAAAAAAATTACCGAACAAAAATTTTTTTGGCTAATTTTTTATAGATGTCCCAGGAATAATGAAAACAGCTATAAAAACTTTTCTTGCTTCGGAATATTCTAAGGGTTTGGCTTTTTTGTTATGAAATCTTTTTTTTAGTATTTCTAAAATCAATTTGTTAGTAATTCATTTACAATTTAAATAATAGTTAGTGATAGTAATAGCAATTATTGCTTGATAATTAAAAGTGATACTTAATTCATAAGTCTATTGTCATTCTTTATTTTTTTCGCTGAAATGCTTGACAATTAATTTAAACAGCTTGGGTATAAACTGGTTTAGGTTTTAAAATCACTTTTACCTAAATAGGTTCTAATAATCTACTGGCATATTCTATTAATCTATCTAAAGTAAAAATTTTTTAATGCAACAAAATAGAATATCCTTTGTCTCTGTCTTACTTAAATCCATTTTGTCTGCCGCTTGTTCTTGTATTAGATTATTTTTTAATCTAATATCTTCTGACAGATTTCAAATTTGGCAACTTGAAAAATTAATAGTTTTATTTGGCTATAAAATTCGGATAAAAAAAAATCTGGTTTTAAAATTCGAATATAATCCGATTTGATAGGTTTGAAATTGGATAATATCTGGATAGCTATTTTTTAAAGTGAATATCTATCCGATATCCATTTAAGTATCCAGATCCAATTACTAGTTTCACATCTACTCTAATTAATGCAATTTTGTTGAATTTGAATCAATCTATTTTTATTTCAAATTTAATTTAATTTTTATGTTTTATTTATTTTCTAATTTTTTTAGTTTTTATGTTTTTTTCGAACTAATTCACATTATTATTTTTAATTTCTAATTAATTTATTTTGTATTAGCTTCTAGCTACACATTGCTCATATCATAACAGACTTGCAACTAAAATTAAAGATTTTGTTTTTTCTGTATTTGGTCAAGCCTAACTAGATAGAATAAAATCAAATTCTACATCTAAAGTAATTTCAGATTGGAAGGATTCAGTTAAGACTCATTAATGTTACAAAAAATTATTTACTCCAATCGATGCCTCTAATTCAAATAATATCTACTTTACCTGAATACTTTTGAATTCTTGATCTAATACAACTCCTACAAATATACAATTGGCATATACAATAACTACAGTATATGCCAGATAATATTTAATTCTTTTTATAAAAAATTAATATGAAGGATATTTCGAATAATAGAAATTTAGTAAGTTAAATTTATTAATTTTTTTGTTATGTTTAAATTCATTTAACTTAATTTAAATTTTGTATATTTTTTTAATAAGAATAAGTTAGCAGAAGGTACTGCATATCTTCTATCAGTCACTGATGATAAAGTTACTATGCCAGAAGATGAACCAGCTGAAGTTGTAGCTTGTAAAACTAAAAAGGGTAGAAAAGAATTAGAGCATAAGCACCTACTACCTCATATAAAAAAAGTAAAAGTGTAGCTGCTGTACAAACACCTATATTCATTCCCGATTTCCCTTGTAAATCACATTCTTCTACAACACTACAAGATAAAACTCCTTCTCCTGATATAAGCCAAACTGATCTGAAAGAAACTATCTTATCCATATCACATCTGTGACAAATTACACGTTCTCATAATAATAGCCAATAATCATAATTTTTAAATAATTGAATTTAACTAAAAAATAATAGATGGACATAACTTTAAGTATTGGTTGGTTACAACAGTTGTGTGCAGGGTGAACACATAATACATATTTTAAATAATACTTTTATATAATGTTCTATATGATTTTGTTTTTTTTTATTTATGTATTTATATATTTTTTATTTATATATATATATATATATATATATATAATTTGGCAAGTCTTGCCTTTACTATTTTATTAGATTTATTCTAAGGTATTTTTTGGTTACAAATATCATGAGTACAATTACAACTTAACTACTATATATGATATCAGCTCACCCGGTTACTAACTTGAGTACCTATGTGCAACCTGCTATATGAGATTTTACCTCCTTATTAACCATCCCGCACCAGGCTAGTTTCAAACTCACTAGATAGTTCCCAAACCCAAACCTATTTTTATCATATATATCCCACTTATATACTACTGTATAACGTCCACCAACTAACTTTCACCCCTTATTACTTATCATATTACTCCTAATTCAGGTCTTGTATTACTTCTAAATTGGTGTCTTTAGAGTGAGCACTCTTCATGCTTCCAGTTTGGTATCTCTGGAGAGTTACTTTAAGGGCCTAGCCATATCTCAACAATTGCCTGTGCCAAACTAGGATATTATTTCATATCAATCCAGGTATTCACGTTGTACTTCACCAAATTAGGCTACCATTCTTTTTATAGTACTCTCTATTAGTATAGTGTTACAAAAGTCTAGATCCTTAGAACAAGAGTTATATACCTTATTTAATCACTATCACAAGCCAGTGACCCGAGATATTTATATATATATATATATATTTTTTTTTTATTCTTTGACAGTCTTGTCGATACTCAAATACAAATTATATTACTATTAGACTACAAAACAAAGTTTTAAAAATTTTAATAATATCTAATTAAAAAATTGCAAGCCCGACATTACCCAGCTACATCATGTTGCGCCCAGATGCGATGTGCCATACCAACTTGTAAACAAGTTAGATAAACTTTGTCAGCCCATCAAAGCTTTTCCCTTCATATTCTCTTTCTTTACCGAGAGCAAAA